TGTACCTCTGGTGCAAATTACTGACCTCTGTCATCATTTTAGGTGGGGGAACTTGCACAATCGGTGGCTGACTAAATACTTTTTTGCCCCACTGTATATACACACACACACAACAAAGACCTGAAACAGGACCTGAGAATTCCATCTACCCATACAGTTTATCCATCTGCTGTTTGAGTCAATTGAGAGAGGACTGTCAAGAAGGAACTACATTTCCGTCAGTTGTGTTTGGGATCTTGTCAGAACTGATGGAATTATGAACATAAAATACCATAATATATTCATCCACTATGCAGTACCTTCTGGAAAGCATCTTAATGGCAACAGCTTTATTTTTCAGCATGTTAGTGATGCTAAACACTCTTCTGGTGCAATAAATGCATACCTACAAAAGAATTGACTCTCAAGCTCTTTAGTACAATACAAATTCTGCTTTTGCCTTATACTGTAATTCCACGCACGTACATTTTTCAATAAATCTATTTGCACTTATTTTAAATTTTCCTAACATAATGAAAAAGGTGTTTACTAAGCATTTGGGTGGTACTTTATTTTTAAAACATAAATCTTCACAGACTGTGTTTTTTGTTATTTCTTCATCTTCTCAAATCTCACCTATCAATCAGCAAGCTTCTATTCCAGCATTGCTCTTCAGTCTCGCGCTTTAGTCTTTTGAAGGCTGAAAAGCTAACTTCCCCCGCAGAACCTGAAGGTCGCATTGTGTGACGTAAAGGTGTGGTCGTGGCGTCGAACAACATTTTCTTTATTTTTCATGATTATTTATTTGAAAAAATACACATTACACTCCGAAATAGCTATAGCGTATGTTTGGAGGTCATAATAAAAAAACTAATAAATTAAAAAAGATTAAATACATAAACATACATCTTGTTGCATGACGTAACAGTTCATAAGTCCCAAACACACGCCCGCATTTTTTCCTCCCCTGTACCACTGAGTGGGCACATTTCCGTGAGTGTCGTCTTGAGGTCCATGTAGTCATACCTGCGTATCTCTGTTTAGCAGAATGGCGTTTTACACTGTGAGGTGGGGTCCTCTTTTAGCCTTGAAGTAATACCATAGATGTCGGACAATAGTACATTTGAACCGCGAAAGGCTTCACGTGCATATTGAGATAGTTAGCTTGTTACGCTACGTGGCTAACGTTTGGCCGCTTATGTGAAGAATGAAGACCGCTAACGGCAACACGAGTGTCATGGACATGTTTGAAAAGGGACAAGTACTGAAAATTTGTGCCCCAATGGTTCGATACTCAAAGTAAGTGAAAGCTGTCATTTCTTTAACTAATTTACAAATTTCTTTGCTTATGGATGAATTTTGGTGAAACACGTGTACAGTTAATGATGCTCACTGTGCTAATATTTATTTCCTTCAGGCTTGCTTTCAGGTCCTTGGTTAGGAAGTACAACTGCGATATCTGCTTCACTCCAATGATCGTTGCAGCTGACTTCTTGCGCTCAATCAAAGCCAGAGACAGTGAATTCACTACTAATGAACGTGAGTAACATTGTAATATGAGCTGGAATGAGCTACTAGGTTGATTTCTTGCACTTCATACCTAGTTTCTTCAAACAGAGAGATTTTCCCTGCGACATAATGTAAAATTTACTAATGCCAGTATTGTCTGTATTGCTATTGTTGATATGATGATAGTTTACAGCTCTTTGTTTATCTGCTCAGGTGACCGACCACTGATAGTGCAGTTTGCTGCCCATGATGCTCAGAGTCTGGCTGATGCAGCCTGTGCAGTGGCACCTTTCTCAGATGGAGTTGACCTCAACTGCGGCTGCCCCCAGAGGTGCAGCTACTGATAGTTTAAACTAATGCTGTCACTTTTCATTATTTAAACAATGTGATTGTACAGAGTAGCTTTTTCTTTGTTGATTCTTAATATTTACATTTTATTCCAGAAAGTAACTAAGAGTTACTGGGACCAGTAGTTGGGTACAAATCTAGTAAACTCAGTGTACTCAGAACGCTTCAGTATCTTTTTTGTGTGTTGTTTTCAGGTGGGCTATGTCAGCTGGGTATGGTGCATGCCTCATTAACAAGCCAGAACTTGTTAAAGACATGGTGAGACACGTCAGAAATCAAGTGGACAATCCAAACTACACAGCATCAATTAAAATAAGGTAAAAAAAAAAAAAGCCACACATACTAAGCTTTGTTTCTTTTTGAAGAATTATGACCCCTTTATAATATATAACTTTATAACTGTACCTGTCAGTGATGTTTGTGAACGACACTGTTTAGGTACAGTATGGAGTAAATGGAAGAGCGGCTGGAGAGGTGGAGGTATGCACTGGATAGAAGAGGAATTAAAGTGAATAAAAGTGAGGCAGAATAGATGTTTGTGAATGAGAAGGAGAAAGGTGGAATGGTGAACATTCAAGATGTAGAGGGTGTGAAGGTAGATTAATTTAAATACCTGGGGTCAATCATCTAGAGCAATGGACAGTGCATAAGAGAGGTGAAGAAAAGAGTGCAGGCAGGGTGGAGACGAGTGTCAGGGGGTGATTTGTGGAAGGATAGCAGCAAGAGGGAAAGGGAAGATTTGCAAGATGGTAGTGAGACCTGCTATGGTTTGGAGAGTGTGGCACTAACAAAAAGGCAGTAACCGGAGCTGAAGTTGGTTGAGCTAAAGATGTTCAGATTTTCATTGGGAGTGACCAGGGTGGACAGGAATAAAAACAAGTACCTCAGAGGGCCAGCTCTGATTGAGCAGTTTGGAGGAAAAGTTAGAGGGGCAAAGTTGAGATGGTTTGGACATGAGCAGAGAAGGGCTGGTGGAAGGATGTTGAATATGAAGCTGCCAGTTAGGGGGAAAAGAGGAAGAGCACCATGAATGTGGTGAAGGAGGATATGCAGAGGGTTGGTGTGACAGAAGCGGATGCTAGAAACTGAGTGAGATGGAGAAAGATGGTCTGCCCTGGTAACCCTAAAGGGAGCAACCGAAGGAAGATTATTTAAAACAATACTAGTTATGATTATGATCCTACTTATTATTGGTATATTAATACCGTTACTGTTATCTTTCACAGAATTCACAAGGACCTAAGGCAGACAGTGGATCTATGTCAAAAGGCTGAATCAGCCGGTGTGTCATGGATAACAGTCCATGGTCGTACAACAGAAGAACGCCACCAACCAGTCCATTACGATGCTATAAAGACAATTAAAGACAGTGTTTCTGTCCCTGTCATTGCCAACGGCGACATAAAGTATCTCCGGGATGTGGAGTCAATCCACGAGCTCACAGGTGTTGATGGTATGTTCGTTTTCAGCAACATTGTAACAAATATACTTCTAACTCTGGCAGTTTTCTTTCTATTTGGCTCATGGTTTTTTCTTATCTTTTTTATTAGGTGTCATGGCTGCACGTGGGTTACTTGCTAACCCTGCTATGTTTGCTGGCTATGAGGACACTCCTTTGCAGTGTATATGGGACTGGGTGGACATATCTGTTGAACAGGGCACTCCATTCACATGCTTCCACCATCATCTTATCTACATGCTGGAGAGGGTTAGCTCGCAGCCGGAGAGAAAAGTGTTCAATTCTCTGTCCAGTACTTCAGCTGTAATAGATTACCTCCAGAATACATATGGATCAGTACATGATCTCAAGACATGACCACATTGAAAATTAACGGCGTGACTTTAGTTTTTATTGTTATTGTTTTTATGCTCAATAAATTTTTTTAATCTATAGCTGTGCAATTTCTGTCGCTATTGCTTTCCTTTTTCCGCAAGTGTGCGATAGTAGGTTATTAAACAGAATATAGAATAATCGTGGGAAGAGTGCATCTCTGTACATGCGTAGTTTGTTTTTGTTTGTCATGTTTATGTAAAGCATTACTGAGATGCAATATTTCTATTGGCTTCAGGGGTTTAAAAGAAAAATATATTTCAGTGTTCTGAGAGTGGATAATCAATATGAAGTGTAAGAAATTTATTTCGTTATTTCCTTGTCATGAAGGAAAAAACGGCTTCAAGTAATTAATTATTTGCCTTCAACGTAAATGTCACAATCTTCCCTATAACGAAAATCTTCAATATCATGAAATGAAAGGGGTGTTCAAACAGCACTACAGTTTAAAAATGAATAGCAATAACTGTGGAAAATAATTGTACATAGGACGGACCGCATTTATATTGTTAGATTAAAAATTGTAATAGCGCCGCGGCTTTTATTTTGAAAAACTGCAACGGAAGCTATTCTTTCGGAAGAGGCGGTAGGAGGACTCGCTGGTGCAGGAAGACAAACTTACTTTGCCCTGTTTGATTTCAGAAGCTAACTAGTAAGTATCTCAGTTGCTGCTTTTACGGTATTTTGGAAGTTTCATATATGTCTACTTGGAATCTAGCATAACGTGTTATAGCAGGCCTTATAATAGTCTTAAATAGTTAAAAAAAATGTATGTTTCTATATCACCTGCGTTAGTTGCATGTTAGCGTTAGCTCGTGTGTTAATGCAAGCTTGATACTGAACGCTGGCTAAAGATGGAAGAGTGAAATCGTTGAAAGTAGCTAGCCGTTAAACATATAAACGAGCACTCTATTTGCACGTATTTGTTGCGGTGATGCTGTGAAACCAGGTTACAGTAACAGCGGTTTGACAGTTCACTCCAAGCCTCTGCGAGCTTCCGTTAAGGTGAATAGACTGGGTTCGAGATTATTGCAGTCTTTTTCAACGGTAGTGTTATTACTGAGAAATGATAATAAATACGATAGGTAGCTTACCTTCTCTGTACCTGATAGTTTTTTGAGGGAGGCTGTGAGACCAATTCCTTTCCCTTTTCTTGTTTTCTGTTAGGTTTCCGGTCTTTTGGTTGGTTTATCTTCAGAAGCCATCAGCAAAGATGACGTTGCAGTGGACAGCTGTCGCTCTCTTTCTCTATGTGGAAATTGGCGTCATTGTCATCCTCTGTTTACCCTTTATCTCTGCCAGGAGGTAAGTATAACTGTCACTCTGTTCTCAAGTTGAATATGGTTTTGCACTCAGGTCTCTGTTGACAAAGGAGATCCTTTCTTCTTCTTTTGGTAGCTCAGTTTCGGGGTACCCACAGTGGATCCATATCATTCTATCTCTTCTGTCAAACCAACCCTCTGCATGTCCTCCTTCACTACATTCACGGATCTCTTCTGTGGTCTTCCTCTTTTCCTTCTCCTATTGAGTAGCTCAACATCTTTTGTCCAGTATATCCACTATCCCTGTGCACATGCCCAAACCATCTCAACCTAAGATGTCCCCCTGATCTATGCATTTCTAAGCTTGTCTGTTCTGATAACTCTCAAATTAAAATCTGCCAACATCTTGAACTCACACATCATAGCAGGTCTCTCTGAACATTTCCTTACACTTTTGCTGCCATCCTTCTGTTACAAATTACCCCAGAAACTCATTTACACCCACTCCACCCTGCCTGAACTCATTTCTTCATCTGTATTGTGCACTTTGTGGTACTTTGGATTGCTGAAAAAGGTACTAACTAAACACTAAAGAATGAATAATGACGACATTGTGCATATGTGTCAGGTTTGTCTCACCACTGGCAGCAAAGTGTGGTGTTTGTTTCTGCGTCAAATATGCTGTCAGCTGTAGTAATCCTGTAAGAAATGTTATGTTGTGCACCATAGTGATGTGACTTCAAATGTTTGTGCAGATGGCAGAGCATTTTCCATCTGAGGATCTGGAGTTGGATGTCAAGATTCTGGAATAAAGTGTTTCTCACCATGATCATAATACTCATTGTTCTCTTCCTCGGTAAGCAAACAATCATCCCTGTCTGTATTTTTAAGGCTACTTTTGGACTTATGGGGGATTTCTTTTTCTTTGGTTTTTAAAGATGCTGTCCGTGAAGTGAGAAAGTATTCATCTAAAGAGCACGGCGCCGATGCCAAGCTGCAACCAAATATGTTCGACCACTTGCACATGAAGCTTTTTAGAGCCCAGAGGAATCTGTACATCTCTGGTTTTGCCGTCTTCCTGTGGCTGTGAGTCTGTGCTCTAATACAACACCTGGACTTTGAACCTGGCTTTCCTCTAACCTTTGTGTGTTTTTGCAGCGTTATGAAGCGGCTGATCACTCTGATTAATCAGCTGGCGTCAGCGTCTGGGACTACGGCTGCTCTTCAAGCACAGGCTGAGAATGCTAACCAGACTGCTGAGAAATACATGAAGGACAATGAACTGTTGAAACAGGTAATTGCACAAAGATCTGTTATTTGTAATCAATAACCCACTTTGAACTGCATGTGGGGAAACTCATATAGGTCAGGGAATAAGTTACACAGTTATTGAATGATAAAACAGAATTTCAAAGTCCAGATTTTAATAGCACATATTAGCTTGTTGCTTACACAATCTAAAGCTATATTAACAGAGTACCCAGTTGATTGTAATCATATAAAGATGAATTGAAATGGAAGCTACCCAACTCAGCTTTAACCTTTAATCCACATCCAGAGCATATTTAATGTTTATAGGCTGCTCAATGGTTTGACTGTTCAGTTTGTACGCCTGGAATATGCTTTGTGTTTTCCACTGGAGGTACTGGGATAACTATATTTGACTGAAGATTTGAATATATGTATTTTTATGTTATCAGACTCTGATGGAAGGGCGGGGTGATAGGGCTACTGCTGAGGGCATGGACCTGCTAAGGAAGGAAGTGGAGAAACTGAAAGAAGAACTGAAGACTTCTGGAGATGGTTAATATCTGTGTATATTTCAGTCCTCTACACCTTCCCTGGAAACAAATGTAGCTTTTATAACTTGTCAGTTTCTGTAAACAAAGACATGGGGGGTGGGGATTCCTTGTTCTCATGTGTCATTGTTTTCCTCTCCAGGTCTGAAGAAGTCCCAGTCAGAGGCAGATGTAATGAAGAAACAGATGGAGGGCCTCGCCAGGGAGTATGACAGGCTGTTGAAAGAACACCAGGAGCTCCAGGTAATGCTGAGCTCTGAACACAGCAGGGTGATGATTTGCTGGGTCGTTCACTAGCTAGATGTAACAATTCAAAGTGACATTCAAGACAATTAACATCAGGCAGGCAGCCTCGGATCAGCAGTGTGGTTCCTCCATATTTCGTGATCAAAGAAGCCATCAATTTATCGTTTAAGCTTAGGCCTCGAGTATGTTTTGTTGAAACATTTAAAGCACAAATCACTAGTGAAAGACTGCAAATTCTGTTCACTTTCAGGTTTTCATCCATTTCTTTAACAACTAACAGACACTTTGAACCTTTATGGAGTGTGGAATTGTATATTACAGTATAATATTTTAACTGATATTTTCATTTTCTCTCCTTTCAGAATCTGCGAGACAGTGGAAATAAAAAGGAAGATTAGATGAAAAGTTAAAGGTTAAAGTGTTTACTTAGCTCAGTCACAGACAATTGCACCACATGCTTGACCATCTGTAACACCGTGTGTCATACTATTTAATTACAAATTAAAGACTGGCTCATCTGAGGAACATGCTTTCGGCTGGTAGCAGCAATGGTTTCAAAAGTCTTAAACCTTTATTAGAGCACGAGACTGGCTTAAATGGAATGAGTAATATCTGTTTCTGCCTGGTGCAGCCTGACTAAGAGGATTTTCTTTTTCAAGGGTGCGCTATCGGGCAGATTAATTGTGCAAAGCAATTGGAGTTCAGTTAGTAAGTGACTCAGGACTGATCACAGAGCACCTAATATATCAAATATCAAACAAAATGAGTGCTTTCTGTCTCATTTGTTTTTGCCACTTTGCACAAGATATGGGGAAAGTTGAGTCGATCTATAAATGTGGTAAATGGTTACAAAAGTATTTTTATGCTAAAGGTTTTCTCTTGTTTTTGTGCAGCCACTTGCAGCTTAACTTTAGTATGCAAATACAGACTGCATGTACAGTTGCACTGAGATAAATGAGCTTCACTTTTGTTTTGCGGTGTTTCAGCCGATGTGCCAGATGTTTTTACCTGTACAGCTGTAATGGATGACAGTAGGTAGAGGTTTTAGCCAGTATCTGTTTGTTTTTTGTTTTTGTGTCTGTGTTTAGTTGTTTTTTTTCCTTTTATTTGAAGTTGTAAAAAGATCTGGCACATACAGTAAAACTTTTTTTTTTAAGTCCTAGTTGGGTTTTTGCCTGGATGTTCTTCACATGCTCAGTTTTGTGTTAAGGTGCACAGTTTGCTGGGATTCATATTTTATGTCACAAAAAAAGATTGTCTTTGTTTTGTTATATATATATTTTTTGTGTATCTTTTAATTATCCAAACAAAACAAATCCATGTCACTGTGAAACAGGACCTGCGATTGTCATCACCACATATTTAAATGTTTGCTTTTTATTAGTGATTTACCATTGTTCATTTTCCCGGTAATATAAATACATGTTCATGTTGCGCTCTGCTGTTTGGACGTAAAAATCAGATTTAAGTGCCTTTCCAGTGGATGTAGAAAGCAGAATTTTCTTTAATAAAGGTTATTTTTTCCTGCGCTTTGTTTTGACTTCTTAACACAAACTCTGTTAATCATTTATCTGAATTTCAGGAGCAGGACCACACTTCCCTTCTGGTCCGTGTGCTTCCTGCACTACAACCATTTTTTTTTTTTCATTTTCCCAGCTAATGAAACAAATCACAAAAACCCATAATGTGATTGGGTATTAAAATTCTTTATTTTAATATTTCATTTAAGATATTCCTTGAAATTTTACAAAAATAATCCAAGAAAAATTATTTACATTCTGATTTCTTTAATGCAAGCAAAGACCTTACATTATTGAGATAATGACTTTCTTTCTCTACACCGTTCTGAGTTGTGTCAGCCTGAAACTGAACCTGAAGATGACACAGTCACCTCATGCTGCAACTTACCCAAATAGTACGTGTGTTGTGGGTCCACGGCTCCTTTGAAAAACGTGAATTCATGACCTTGAAATAAAACTGGTGACTGCAAAATTATATTGAATGCCTTTTTTGAGTCACACTGAACATTCTGTTACTGGAACAATATCACTTCACCCTGATATCTAAAAATAAAAAAAATGGGACTGACTAAATCTGATTTGGCACTTGAGTGGAAAGTTGCAGGAAACTTCAGAATATTCCTAACAGCAGTGCAATGCAAGAAATCCTCCTTCAATCCACACGCTGTTTTTAAAGGACGCAGTTTAACATGTTTTTAAAACCCAATTTTGCCAAATTTCATCCATCCACAAATCAAGCAAATACTTTCAGTTAAGGTCCCCTAAGCTACCAAACCAGAAGCCATATTTAGATTACAGGTTCTCATCAGCGATGAGATGCTGATAGCCCACAGCAGAACAGCAATACAAAAGCTACATGGTAAATAGTGTTCATTTTCAATAGAGTTTATGCTACTATAAATATTATCTATAAATATTATAAACTATGAAACCAGCATATTACTTAAAACACACAGCTCCCGTTGAAAGTGACAAATACCACAACCTGTGATGTTGAGGCAAGTTTTTGTCACTTGTAATAACAGGTCAGATGATGCTTTTTGTCATGAAAATATACAATCATGTAGGGACATATGTGTATAAATATATATTTGTATTTATGTATTTTATTTGTGTGTGTGTGTGTGTGTGTGTGTTGGGGGGCAGGGGGAGGGGTTTGCATTATCAATACTTCTGAATACACTTTAGTGTCAGTGGTAGGATGCACCCTAAGCTTTATCATTTGCTGAAAGTAGAGAACTACAGACTCGAAAATAATCTCACATCAAATAGTCTCTATGGGCTTGAACTGAAACTGTCTGATCCACTTACTGCTGTTGCAACTGTCCGAAGAAAATAACACTCCGGGAAAGTGTGTCTGTATTAAAAAGTCTGCCAAATCCTTTACCACGTTTTGAATTTTAAACTGGGCTAATTTAGTCTTTCTGCTGATGTACATATTAAGGGCGTCTGGTATTACACAAATGGGTGGTCGAAGGAAACTGTTTTCTGAATCATAGAGATTGGCAGCAGTGTACACTCGTACACTGCTGCACTAAAGAAAAGTGTTGCGATGAGTCCCAATAATCGGTACTCGACTTTCAACCATATCAATACTTTGGGCATGAATTTGAATGCATTCCAGAGATCACGACTTCATCAGTCATTGCAAAACATCACATCAGAGCAGCTAGTGTACCCTCAGATAATTTCATCAGATCCCTGAACAGAGCTCTAGTTTAAGCAGTCAGATATCTGATCATTTGCTCTCAATGAAAGAAAATGCTAAAAAAAAAAAAATGTCCAGGATTTCAGTGACAGACTGGGATAAAAAGAGTTCTTTAAAAAAAAAGTTGTATAAAATTTAAAAAATGCTACATACTCGATTCATACAACTGAGAAATCACTGTCAGATTTTACAAAAATGGGGTTAATGTTTAAGAGAAGAAAGGGGAGATAAAATTGTGACATTGGCATAAAGACACACATAAAGAATACAAAGGTAGAAACACCAACCAGTGAAACGCATGACGATGGAAACAGAACTTTTACATATCAGCAACAACAATCACACACAGTGTTTTCTTCTTCTTCTCCTTTTTTTTTTACAGTAAGTACTTTATCAGTGTTGCAACAATACAATCTCTGCCTTATCCAAGGCACGACAACGGTTATTTATTACCAGAGCCTGGGGAGCCCAACTGAGAAGTGTAAGATGCAAATTTGATCTGATACCAGCTATTAACAGCTTTAGTCAGTTGTGTGTGTGAAACTAAAACATTTGCACCACTCAGAGGTAAGTGTCATGGCTCTAGAGTTTGACAAAAGCAGAGCTGTTTGCTGAAGCAGATTTCACTAAAATACAATTCCCATTTCTAGTGATTATGAATATCAACGGACCCAAAGTTCATATCCAGAAAGCACAAAAACAACAAACTGCTATACACTCACAACTTTGGGCTTTAAGTAAAAAGCAAAAATCAATCGTTTTTTCCTAAACGAGTAAAGAGCCGATGATCTGAAATTTAAAAGTAAAATGAAATTGTTTTTTAAAGATCTCTGAAACACACATTAAGAGGTAACAGTTGAGTGAATGAGGCACATACCGAAACATCATATCAATATCCTCCAAGTGTTACTGAAACGAGCAATTCTACAACTCATTTAAAGGAGAAAAAAATATCTCAGGTCTCTAAAGGCCAGATTTTTCTTTTTAGGACATATCAGTTTGCTGTTGTGCCTCTGGTTTATAAGGCCACTTTACCTCTTCAGTTCTGTAACACTACTGTCAGCTGGAATAACTTTGAAAGAAAGATCTTAAAGAGGCAGCTTTTGAAATGCTGGTGTTTAAAATAGTACTGTTTTGCAGTAGTCTGTACAAGTCACATTTCCTAACTGATATTTTCTTCAACTCAAAAATATCGTGTTTGTATTTTTTTTTTTCTTAAAAGGAAAAACAGCATGTACATTCAAGAAATATTTCAGTCATATCAAATTTCTGTCAGATTTACAAAGCCTTTACACATCCAGCAGTACAAATATAGAATTTCTGTTTTACATGAGATGACTGGACAACAAGTGATTCCCTGCAAATCTTGTTTTCATGTGAGCGAGCGTGCATGTGAGCGAGCGTGCATGTGTGCAGCGGCGCTCTGGACATACTGTGGGTATATATGCGGCCGTCAGCTCTGCTGGCTCTGTCAAAGTCGTGTCTGCCTATCTGTGCTGTTCTCTGATGGGTGGTGTGGCTGGTCAGAATTAGAAATAACCAACTCTTCCTTCCTGAGCACCTCCAGTTCGGTTCCACCGTTCCTCAGAGCTCCGTGGATGGCGCTTCGTTCCTCCTCCTTCAGCTGTCGACTGAGCAGGATGAAGCCCGGGATGCAAATAATAAAGGAGATAGTCCGTAGGCTCAGAGTCAGGCCCAGGTATGCTATTCTGAGAAGCACGAAAAAGATTGATTTGATGAAAATTAGCAAAATTTGGCAAGACATCAGACAAGAGTTGGTTATTAATGCTGCAATAGATTCCCTATGTTGAGTTGTACCAGAAAATTGAGCTAGGGGAATTAGATAATATTTATTAATGTTTAATAATCATAATTTGGAAGCTATAAACAGGAATTATAATGTCTCACGTAGAGCTTCCAGGGGTTACAGAAAAACTAGAAAAAAAGAAGTAGGGTAGGCAAGAGGTTACTGCTAATTCAGTTCAAACTCAATGAAAGTATTTCCAGTAAAGCATCAGCAAATAAATGAGATTAGGTCTGGTCTACAGAAGGTCACACTTAAGGCTGCATTATGTTGAATGTTTGGACTAATTAAAAAAAGGGATTCACAAACGACTGAATAGTACATGTGTAAGTACAACCTGTAGGCGGTGGTGTTGTAGATTCGACAGGCTCCTATGCCCCCACACCTTTTCTGACCCCATTTTAGACATGTGGTGTCAATGATGGCTCCAAAGTAAATGGGTGCTGGGATCCCTGCTGTAAGACAAAGGAAACAAAGTCTTTTCACAGTCACGTCTCCTAAAAATGAAACAACAGGTAACAGCGAACACTATTTAGAAAAATCTGAACAAACATTTTATGACTAAACTTGGACAAACAAAGCAAAGGTTTTCAGGAAGAGTTAAACCAAGATCAAATCCCAGAACATTCCCGACTACCGAACAGGTCTTACCAAGGGTCCGTGTTGCCAGTGCGTGGAAACCCAGGGCCAAAGATTTCAGCTGTGGCTTGATGCACCTGCATAAATAAAATAAAATAAATAAATAGAACATGGTTACTATCATTTAAATCAGTTTCTATTGTTACTGGACAAAAAAAAAAAAGAAGCCTATTAGGTAACACCAGAAGTAATGCCACTGTTACTCAAGCGAGTGTAAATGTAAATGCAAAATGTAAACCATAGCTGTTCCACTTAAACAACAAAATATATGACATTTGATAAAACTGTTAAGAGGAACTTTTACCATTCCTATGGAAACTAAACCATCTTTCTGATCTCTGAAAATGAACAGAGGAATAATAAGATGACTATTCACACACAGCGCAAAGTCACTACATTCCTGCCAGGCCACTGGACTCCAACAGGATCAGCTGACATGGCTTTAAGAGGTCCTACGTTTGTGTGTTAAGTGTGTGCTTATGTGCTCGCATATAGGAGGGTGTAATAGCATAAATCTCTTTACTTGAAAAACACACCCGAGTTGGATTTATAGGGAGAACAAAGCAGAAAATAAATGATTAGCACATGCATGTGTCACAGCATGTCACTGTAAAGTCCACAGTTAACCACCAGAGGCCGCTGTGTGGCAGAAAATTTGAAGCCTGCTTGATGACACATGATTTTGGGTTTGTATACCACCTATACCTCTGGTAAAATCCTGAAGATGTGCGAGATGTTTCTGTACAACATTGATGCTGTTTTTGTGTACACAAATAAGACTGGTTGTGTGTCAGTGTATTGGATCCAGGAGTGGAAATGCTACAGCTATCCCACAGGCATGTGAACAACTTTCAGGAAAGACTGAACACAGAACAGCCTAAAATG